GTGAGCCCAGCTCCACCTTCTGGCAAGAATTGGGCGTGGCTCAAAATTAAACGACTAGGGCAAACCGCAGGTTTTAGTCTTGGGTTCCATTGACCAAAGTGCCAATTTTTGGTCTCCATGTTTTTGAGCCACAGCCAATTGACCCACGACCTCCTTGACGAGAAGGAGTCCATAAGCGCACCGCGCCTCACTTTCGGTAGGTACATTGACATGCGGGCCGGTCCGTCCCTTCGCGGCTCCCAGCGGTTTCTCACGCCTCGCTTGGCCATCCTTTCTGACAACTTGCCCAGGCCACTAGGGGGTTGTCTCAAAATAGTTTGGACCCCAAACTGGCGCCAGGCTTGTCCTCTTTTTCTTCCAAAACGGGGGGGGGAGGGACTCCAACAGAAACCTCCATTAGGGGGGTTTCTCGAAAAAAATGGGGGGGGGGGGGGAGTTCCTTCGGTTCTCCCTTCAAAACCGCCCAAAAGGGGGGGGGTAGCTCCACCAAAAAGCCGCGCCGCCCTTGGCTTCGCGGTCGAGAAATCTGTCCTTCGCGAGGCCTGGCGCTTGAGGTCTGGGGTGACCGGGAGGCTTCAGGCAGCCCGCCGGGGTCCCAGCGAGTCGGCCGCCGCCGATGTCTGGCGATCGGTGCGCTCGAGAGGCAGGGAATGCGAATTGGAGTGACCCCGGAAACAAAGAAAACAGCCAAAGAGCTGTGATGAAGGTCCTTCTTCAGGGCGATTCCTGTTGCTTTTTTGGGCTTGTAGAATGTTGCGAGGTGAACATCGTAGACATATTTTCTTAGTGATGTAGAGTTGAGACAAACTATGAACATTTTCAGAGTCGTAGACTTCGGAGAATGCTCTGGCTACACTTGTCCCACAGGACTGGCAGGTCTCTGGACTGGAGCCATTCCTCATGGCCGACGGCATGGCCTTCGAGCAATGTGAGCATGTTCATGGATGGCCCCCCCCCCCCAGCGAATGTTAGCTTCCAACAAGCTGGCATGAATGAAAAATGTTCATGACACCCCTTGTTGTTTGGTTTGCCGGTGTATCGGCGGGCTTTGTTTGCCCAGTTTCTTGGTGGTGTTTCTGAAACGGTTGGTTGGTCTGGTCTGCAGAGTTGGTTTGTTTGGTTGGGTTGGGTTGGGCTGGGTTGAGTTGGGTTGGTTGGTTGATTGTTAACTTTTTTGGTTGGCAGATCGGTAAGCCGGTACGTAGGTGGCTGGGTAGGTCGGTAGGTAGGTGGATAGGTAGGTAGGTAGATAGGTAGATAGGTAGGTAGGGGTGGGTTTGGCTGGTTTGTTCGTTTGTTGGTTTGTGGGGTCTGTTGGTTTGTTGGGTCTGTTGGTCTGTTGGTGTGTTGGTTGGTTGGCTGCTTGGCTGCTTGGCTGGTTGGTTGCTTGGTTGCTTGGTTGCTTGGTTGCTTGCTTGCTTGGTTGCTTGGTTGCTTGGTTGCTTGGCTTGGTTGCTTGGTTGCTTGGTTGCTTGGTTGCTTGGTTGCTTGGTTGCTTGGTTGCTTGGTTGCTTGGTTGCTTGGTTGCTTGGTTGCTTGGCTTGGTTGCTTGGTTGCTTGGTTGCTTGGTTGCTTGGTTGCTTGGTTGCTTGGTTGCTTGGTTGCTTGGTTGCTTGGTTGCTTGGGTTGCTTGGTTGCTTGGTTGCTTGGTTGCTTGGTTGCTTGCTTGGTTGCTTGGTTGCTTGGTTGCTTGGTTGCTTGGTTGCTTGGTTGCTTGGTTGCTTGGTTGCTTGGTTGCTTGGTTGCTTGGTTGCTTGGTTGCTTGGTTGCTTGGTTGCTTGGTTGCTTGGTTGCTTGGTTGCTTGGTTGCTTGGTTGCTTGGTTGCTTGGTTGCTTGGTTGCTTGGTTGCTTGGTTGCTTGGTTGCTTGGCTGCTTGGCTGCTTGGCTGCTTGCTGCTTGGCTGCTTGGCTGCTTGGCTGCTTGGTTGCTTGGTTGCTTGGTTGCTTGGTTGCTTGGTTGCTTGGTTTCTTGGTTGCTTGGTTGCTTGGTTGCTTGGCTGCTTGGTTGCTTGGTTGCTTGGTTGCTTGGTTGCTTGGCTGCTTGGCTGCTTGGCTGCTTGGCTGCTTGGCTGCTTGGCTGCTTGGCTGCTTGGTTGCTTGATTGCTTCGTTGCTTGGTTGCTTGGTTGCTTGGTTGCTGTTGTTGCTGCTGCTGGTCATGGTGGTGCTGGCGGTGTGCTGCTCAAATGTGAGGCTGTTGTGACCGATTCTGACATCCCCATGCCCAGCATGTTTGCAAGCCGAGGATCGAGTACATGTACGACACCAGGCTGGCGTGTGGGTTGGTTCCTGGAGAGACGGGTTGGCACGCTGGGAAGACAGCCACTTGGAAGGTGCACGCATCTCTGTCACCAGGCCAAGGCTGACATCTTTGCATTTCGCGTTCTTTTGTCCAAAACCATTGAGCTGCGAAGGGTGTCAACAGGCTAGGCCGAGACACATCAAGGCACCTTGTTGTTGCCCACCAGTTTCTTTTCCCCACGGAGGTCAAGCCTACAAAAGCTTGGCTCCAGGATTCCCCAACCCTCCATTTGCTTAAGACTATGTTGTTTTTTTGGTCTTGCAGATGAGCGAATCGAGTCACACGAGCGCCATCTCGGATATTCCGAGCGATGTTACTTGCAGGGGTGTTGTGGACACTCTCAGGTCTTCGCCGGGTTAGTAGGAGATGGCACTCACCTTCGGAATGCATGGTTGGGGAAGGCGGGGACCTCTGGAACTTCTTGGTTTCCCTTTGTCTTGCCCTTCAACATCAACCCCAAAATTTGGAACCCTGAAAAAAAGAGATAGGAGTTGTCCCTGGTGATTTGTTTATTTCGGACTCAGAGGCAGAGGCGAAAAGGACTCATTTTCCAGAGTCGCAAACAAATCCGACAGACCGGGCGTGGCACTCATCGCCTTGGAGATGCTGTGGCTCTATGCCCGAGCGCTCGATTTGTTCCCCAACAGCTGAAAGCTTTGGGGTCTCAGCCCAGGTAGGCTCTGGGGTGGTCCGGGGCGGCCCTGAGGCAAGGTTCCACGAGGGTTCCACGAAGGTTCCACCAGGGTTCCACCAGGGTTCCACGAGGGTTCAACAAGGGTTCTGCGAGGGTTCCACGAGGGTTCAACGAGGGTTCTGCGAGGGTTCCGCGAAGTTCTGCAAGGGCTGCGGGGTGGCGGGGTGGCGGGGTGGTGCGAGCACTAAAAAGAGCACCGCATGCTGTTGCGGATGTCACCTGAGCCTATTTTGTTCTCTTCCTCCGACGTGGATTTGGTTGTATAGGTGGCTGTGGCTCAAAAACATGGAGACGAAAATGGAACCTTGGTAAATGGAACGTATGACTATCAAGCATGACTATCACCTGCGTCAACGAAGCCCTCTTTGATTTTGAGCCACACCCAGGTGCCACCACATCCTGAGATCCTCAAGTCGAGGGTTTCTGTGGCTTCTGAATTCAAACGGAACAGGACCAAAGGGAAATCCACTGAGGGCTCCAAAATGACCAAGACGGAAAAGAACTTTTCCCACGTGAAGGTGAACTCTTTTTGAGTGGTTTGCCTGGTCACCCCATGAGGACCTTCGGATCAACCCAAAAAATTGGGTAGGTGCCACCACTTGTTTCGGATCTGGATGAAGATCGGGATGGTTGAAATCAGCTGGTGGGAAGGATTTGCCACTTTTGAAGGCTTGAGGCAAAACGCGCCAGAGCGAGTCCCCGAATTTTTTGGGGATCCAGGAAGCGGTTTGGAGGCGGTTTTTGTGGATCCGGCGTTTGTAGGATATTAAAAGAGTATGAAAAGAGTACTAAGACAGAATCAACAGGGGGGAAGAACAGGTGAAATCCACAAAAGCGCATCCAAACAGTTTTCTAGAGGGGCTGCGAGGCATGTGTATTCCCACCCATGTCCATCTGACCTGAACCTAGCTGAGGCCTATACTTCAAGGTCCGGGGCCTGCGTTCGTTGATCGGCTTGGGTCGTCCCAGTTTTACACGAACCAATGAAACACCAATAGCGCTGGGAATGATATTTAAGGGCTGCAAGGGGTAGACCTTGATTGTTAGCTGGTTCTGGCCAGCTTGGCGACCAACTCTCAGCTACCCAGCAAGTAAAAGCCAAGCTGGCCAGAATGCTTCAGTGCTTTGGGTCAATGAGGGTGGGGCGACCACTGAAGATTGATGGCACTTTGCTTTGACTGGCCGGCTTTTGATGTGATACCAGTTTCCGTATTCCAACAGACATAGCTGTGCGACAGCAGTTCTTTCTGTAAGCTGTAGCGGACTTAGACACCTGAATTTGCAAGATGCCTGTGCAACTTGACTCCTTGAACATTCGAGCTGAATGAATATTTTGAGAGGACCTCTTCGACTGAGTCAATGTACAAGCATCCCACAGAAAGATCGCGCCTGGCCGCGACACCATTGGACTCGTATCGAGGGCATACAATGTTTAGACTGCCGAGCCGTAAAGCAAAGACACGATTGCGTATATGTGCCTTTTTTAGAATCAGCTGATCTACAGGGAATCTACCGGCGTTTCTTGCGAAACACATGGTGTTGCTCAAACAAGCGTAGCTCCTGTTTTGTTGAGTAGGTCTCCAAGTTAGCCTGCCCTAGCTCAAGAATTGGAGAACGGCAAGCAATGCAAAAGTGGCCATCAACGAGCCCAAATGGGGACGTGTCAAATTCGGGGAACCCCAAAATGGACGGTTTTCTTTTTGGTTCCCTTCAAGCCCATCTGACAAATGGCACCCTCCAGACACCCACCTCTTGGGTTCACACCTCCAGCATGCAAGCGTTTTTTTTGATCCAGACGAGTTTGGGCATGGCCGTCCCCCATGGCTACAGAGCTACATGGTGGCTCAAAATCCCGATCTGGTTTTGGCTGGGCAGCCGAAGTTCATACAATGACCATCATGGATATGGTCATATACATCAACATATATATATATATATGTATAAGTGAAAACAAATGTTTGTGTGTGTGTGGCCCTGTCGGTTTCTTTGTGTCCAGCTGTCTCCCATGACCTTTTGGGGGCGCGAGGTGCTGGCAGACGTGGTCCGACGAGACACGGATCCGGCCGCGGCACTTCTACAAGCGGGGTGGGACGGGGAATCCGTGGGTTTTGCCCATGGCTTTGCGCCAGCTTTGGCGGTCGGAAGTTTATGTGAGCCACGTGCAATCAAAACCCGTGTAGATGAAGGTGAGTAAGGGGGTTTTCCCAACCAGAAATAGCTGCGGATATCCGCCTTCTTAATTCTTGAAGCATGGTTCTGGGTATTTTGATTATGACTCACGGCCATGTGGGGGCCCTAAATGGAACGGCTCTTGCTGCGAGCTCTTTTTGGGTCGAGGTTGAGGGTTTGCCACCGTCACGTTATGGGAAAGGGAAAAAAGAGAGACGTGCCTCGCGTTCTTGTGTTGCAGGCACAGAGCTCAGTTTGGGACCACTTAAACACGTTCCACCTTTTCTCCGGGGCATTTCCCCGCTTTTAACCGGGATGGCTTAAGGCGCTCACGGTGAGAGGGGGCCTTCTCTACCCCAAAGCTTCCGTTCCTTCTACAAGGTCTCGGCCGAGTGCCCACCCATTTTTGGGACAGGTTTGCAGCGCCGCGCGAAGCCTTCCTCTCGAGTCCGTGTTTTCAGGACGAACAGGGCCAGATCTCAAATCCTGCAGTTTGAGAGGCGCCCTGCATCAACGTACAGTGGTTGAACGACACTTCGAGCTTGTTGTAATATGGTTGGGGGTCAGTTAATGTATGCTGAATGCCACCTAACTGTGGTGTGAGCACAACCACTCCCCAATTGGTCCACTCTGATGGACTCAACAGCGCCAACGGAATCAAGAGCAAGAGTATCAATCTTTGTTTTAAGAGGTGCGATGGTCCTCAAAGCAATTCCACCTTGCTCCCCCAAACCGGGCGAGTCCAGGGACCTTCCCTGAGCTTGCGCCCCATTTCACTCTTCGGGTTTGTCTCAACATCGCCACAACCCTCTAAAACCGTAGGTTTCCTGTTGGCTTCCAAACCTATCCCCAAAAACGGCACCCTCCAAAAGAAGGACATGTTACGTGCAGACCAACCTTTGCCAAGTTTCAGCCAACACGTCTAGCTTGCCGTCTGGCTTGAATGCAACTGTCGTCTTCTCATTGGGGGAGGACTCAGTTGCCTTTGGACCGCCGTACCCTACCTTTGAGGTGGATCCCACCTTTTTTCCTTTCCGAAGTCCCGCCAAGTCCGAAGGGATCGGCGGATCGGCGGATCGATTGATCGATCGGCCAAGTCCGCAGGCGCTTTGCGTCTGTGCTGAGCCTCTGGTTTGTGACGCTGCCGGGGGCCGGGGGCCCCGGGCCCCCGACATCGCTGGACGGCCGAGCCGAAATGAGGCTCGGTTCGGCTCGGGGCGACCTTCAGACGTACCTAGTCAACAAGTCAACATGGAACACAAGCTTTTGGGGTTCAAAAGTCGCTTCCTCTAGGACCTGCGGAGTTTGTTTTTTTTCCCCCCGGGGTCCTTCCGTTAGGCTCTAGGGGAGCCTGAGGTGCACCTCAGTTCCTTAGCGGGTTCAGTCCATTGGCCAAGAGTGGTTGAACCATGAGAAACCCGCTAAGTCGAAATCGCGACTCGTGAAAGTACTAATCCAATCGCGTTTTTTCAACCAACCCAGAAAGGGGGACAACTGTAAAGTTCAGTTTCGTTTCAACCACCAATCAGGGATTTCAGGGGTCGTTCCCACCCCCCCCCGCACTCAGGTGGCAGCCCTTGCCTCTGTGCTGGCGCCCTGGGCACCGGCCTCGGCGGACTTGTTGGTGCAGCTTCGGTCGGGGTGGCTGGGTAGGGTAGCTCGCAATCTCAGGGCACCCTGGGCGAATTTGGCGAATCTGAATCTGACTCTCAAAACCCGGTGAAGGATTGTAGGGGGTGAAGGATGGTAAGGGACTTTTCCCGGGGCCTTTTGTGGGCGGCACTAAGGGATTGATTCCTCTCCCGATGAGGACCTCTCTCCCTGCCCCTTTCCTGGCGTCAGGGTGACAGTGCCTCGACTGTCTCTGTGTTTTTCTCTACCTTCACCCGTTCCGCCGCCTCTTGTCTCTGCCGCCTCCTCCCGCTCTGTCTGTCTCTTGTGCCCCTACCTCTCTCCCTCTCCTCTTGCTTCTCCCATGCCTTCTGAAATGCGTGCGCTGCTGTTCATCTTGGCTAGGGTGGTGTCCTAGTCACGTCCCTCTCCCTCTTCTTCTTCAGGTGCGAATGCCCCTCCTTGCTTTCTCTGCCTCTCGCTTGTCGACTGAGGCTCTCGCTATCTTAGTGCGGGGCACTCTCGCTCTGAGTGACGCTGTTTGTCTCTGTGCTAGGCTCAATGGTCTTCCAGTCTCGTGCCCTGAATGTTGGCTCTGGCGCGGGTGCGGCTCCCTGCGCCTCAGACTCGTGCCGCCTTCCATCTAAAGAGCCAGGATGAGAGGAAGGCACTAATCCGAAAAAACGATCGCGGCCTCCCGCGCATCGCAAAACAGTAAAGTTGCAGCCCTCTGGCTCGACATCGCTGTGTCCAAGAGCGTGGGGTCGCAGATGGCCGCGCAGCTTCTGCAGGTGGATGAGCCGGAGGGGGCCGCTGCAGTCAACGCCCTCCTCCAGCCACTCACCGCCTGGCTGCGGGTGGAGAGTTCCCAGTTGTGCGAGAACTCGGAGCCACAGCCATGCAAACACCACACCCGAAGGCATGTCCAGTCCAAGAAATCTTAGCTTTCGAGTTCAAACTTGAGGAGGTTCTGTTTGCTTCAGGTGAGGCTCTTGCACGAAAAATCAAATCGGGAGCCAAGCTTGAGAGTTGTTTGAATGTGTAAAATCCGTTTGAGGATGTGTCCGAATTTAGTACAAATCCGTTTCAATTCTTTGTTGTGTGAAAATCCTTTTAAGGACGTGTCCGAATTTAAACCAAATCTAAGTCAGTTCTGCCTTGTGTGAAAATCCATTGAAGGACGTGTCTGAATTCAAAACAACTGAATGCAGTTCTGCATTGTGCCAAATCCATTTAAGAGCGTGTCCAAGTTTCAAGCAAATCCAATTCAGTTCTTCATTGTTTCAAGACCAATTTGAGAACCAGTCCGACTTAAAAACCAACCAATTCAGTTCTGCATTGTTTCAACACCAATTTAAGGACGTGTCCAAATATGCAAACAAATCCAATTCAGTCCTGCGTTGTACCAGACTCCATTTAAGGACTTAAAGGAATTTGAAGCAAATCCAATTCAGTTCTGCATTTTGTCAATAAGGTGTCCGAATTTCATTGTGTCAATACCCATTTAAGGACGTATCCGAATTTAAAACAACTTCAACTGCGTGTCAGAATCCATTACAGGATCCAATCCCCCTAGCTGAAAAACCAACAATCCCCCATTGGTCGGTTTCCTTTAGCTTCCCTTTAAAACCACCCTGAAAGGGTTCCCCCAAACAAGGCTTAACACGCGCAAGTCTGCTTAAAACAAAACCGGTCGACCCCCCCCCCTAAAAACACATATGGGAACGGCTTCCCTAAACAAACGTGCGAACACGGGCAAGCCTGCTTAAAACAACGCCATTGGCAAACCCCTAAAATGGCAACAGCTTCCTTTGGTTTCCCTTTGAACCCATCCAAAAAGAAGGGGTTCTCCCCAGCAAGAAGACGCGTACACGGGCAAGTCTGCTTCAAACATCCCATTGCCTGACGGGCTTCCTTTGGTTCCCTTTGCAACCACCCAAAAAGAAGGGGTTCCAATTAAGCAACGCAAGTCTGCAACACTCTTCCCATTGCTTGGTCGCACAGCTTAAAACAAACTATTGGCAACCCCCCTCCCCAAAAAATAATCAGGGAGGGTGTCCCACGGAGTCAGGTCTGCTTAAACCCTCCCCCTTGCTCCTCCCCCAAAAAGTGGGAAGGGTTTCCGTTGCTTGGCACGTCCGCGTTCCACGCCGAACCGATCGGCGAAGCGGTCGGTGCGCGAGGTCCGGTTCCGCGTGGTCTTCGCCGTGTCCGGCCTCGCCCACTTCTGCGCCTCCGGGGCGGGGAGCGAGCGTCGGATCGAAGCCGTCGGGCAAAGGGAGGCCTTCGCGGCTCCAAAAAGACCTGGTGGTTTTCCAGAAAGCCGCCCAAAAAGAAGGGGTGCCAGCTCGACAAAAAGAAAGAGACATGGCAAGTGGAGAAGTCGACCAAAGCCTGCGTCACCCCGGTTTAGCTTTGAGCCACACCCAGATTTTGAGGCGTGCGCCGTGTTCCGGGCCTTCAAAACACCACTGTTGCTGGCTCCTTGACCAAGATTGATTGTCTTGGAGTCTTACTATCAGACGGCATGCACGCGACCAAACAGCAAACCAACTTGCAAGCCTCGAAGATTGAGCCTGTTTCTTTTTGGTCAGGGGGGGTGGACGACGTCAACGTACTGAACGCCAAAACAGCGTACCCAAATCTCCTCAGATCCTGGTGTACATCTACCATCCCTCTGTGGCAGGGGGCCTCGGCATTGCCTGTAAAGCTTCCCATTGATTTGGAAGCCCCTTTCGGGTTGGTAGTAGTTGAAGGGAAGCCAAAGAAACAACTTTTTTTGGGCCCCTATTTTGAGAAACCTTCCTTTGCCGCAAATGGCCAGTGATTGGTGGTGCAGATTGACGCTTTACGAAACAGCTCGCTCCATTACGTGAGCCAATACTTTTGACTGAATAGATGAGCACTGCGCGACTTGAACATGTTGCTTGCTCGATGTGTTGCTGGTGCCCGACTTTGCTGAGTTTGAAGGAAAGACTTTTAGTTCGGGACGAAGCGGACATTTGATTTTGTAATGCCAAGTGATTGGACGATATCACTTCCCAATTCAAACAGATACATGATCGGTTGCAAGTCAGCCGGCCAATGCATCGTTGGCACCGATTGGTTTCAGAACGCCATGCGCCAGCTCCCCAAATCAAGCCAGCTGGCACGTCCAGCAGATCTGCATTTTGGACATTCAATCCAAGTTTGAAGGAACGAGTTAGGGACGTCTTAAAGACATCGACACTTCCTGCACCCCGCCTTAAGGCGCCGGATCTCTTCGAGATGAAGGCGAAGCATCGAGAGGCGAGAAAATGCGGGGTCGTGTCTGGGTGATCGGTGCGTCAAATGGCTTGCAGCTTTTAGGGTCTCAGTGGGATCCGGTGTTCGGATGCCGCCTCCGGGCCTGTTTTTGTTTCAGACAGCTCGCTCGTATCACTTGCAAGCGTCGAGGCCGACACTGCCGAAGCGGCGCCCCCAAGTTGAGGCCATCACGCTCGACTCTTTTCTTAACGTCCTTTTGAGTGCATCTTTGTTCCTTTTTATCCATTGTCACTCTCAGACTTGACGAGACCAACATGATTGCACCCTTTGGAGCAATGCTGACCTCGTATTCATCAACCCCGGTTTATGAACAGAGGGCTGTTTGTGGGATTTATCACTTTTGGAGGGGGATCACTCCCGAAATGAACAGGGGTTGATTCACATGGGATCAACATTACGGGTTCTGTTGCCGCGGTACCCAACATTTGGGGCTCGATGGCTTCCCAACGGGTCCTCTTTCTCCGTGAGGCTGCCAGTAACGAGGAGTTGAAGGGCTTCTTAGAGGCTGGATGCCTGGGGGGTTGGGGGCTTCTCGGAATGTTTTGGCCTGTGAGGCAAGTCCATTGGATTGAGGGCCTCTCAAAGTTTCGTTGGGGGGTAAGTTCATTTTTGTCTCTTGAACCACACTTTTTTTGGGTAAATGCGAGGGTACCAACTTATTGTGTGGTAAACCATGTTTTTCTCCACATTTTTGGGAGGCGAGGATGTCACGGACCCAGTCTGGCCTGAGGTCTGCATTCTGGATCCCACCTAAAGGGATGCACGTCGATGCATCGATTGTTGCCATCTCGCGTTTTTTCGAGGCGCTGTGCCCAGAAACGCCTCGAAAAAGCGCGGCAAATGGATATGGTCCCGCCGGCCGGCGAGTGGGGAACCCCCCCCGGGGAGCGTTTGGGACCGGGTGTCAGAGGTAGCGGGCCTACGGGACCAGTACGGCAAAGTTTTTAATAACCCTGGTGGGTGAACAGTCTCCAACTGAATGATGTCCACCAAAGACTCCCTACTTGTAACTGAAATTCCATCCTCCAACGGCGGTGTCGCTGGGTGAAATGTGATTGGACTAAGACCACTTTGGGAGGGCCCCCACCGGGGTTGGTTGGTGTGTCAACATGATCCACGGAAGGCTGCCCTCAAGTGCGCTCTTGTGGGATGGTGGCATGGTCCGCAGCTTGGGCCCAAAGTCATCGATCCAAATATATGTACGTATATATATATATACACATATATGTACATGAATATATATATATATATATATATATGTACATGTATATATATATATATATATGCTCACACCCCCCCCATGAACTACATTTGGGGCATGTGTGTTTGATCCATCTGCTCATCCGCGTCTGAACTTGTCAAGTCTGCCAACACTACATTTGGGGCATGTGTCTTTGATCCATCTGCTCATCTGTGTCTGAACTTGTCAAGTCTGCCAACACCAACTTGTCCTTGTTCATCGGAGGTCTGTGTCTGCATCCACCAAGTGCCAAAGATAACACCAAATGCATCTGGATGAGGAAATGTTGAGGAAATGTGAAGACATGTCAACCATATTCTGAGCAAGAAGTGAACAAGTCATGAGGGAGCAATGATGAAGCAGAGACGAAGCAATGAAGAAGTGATGAGGAGGTGATGAGGAAGTGATGAGGAAGTGATGAGGAAGTGATGAAGCAGTGACGATGTAATAAAGAAGTGATGAGGAAGTGATGAGGAAGTGATGGAAGTGATGAAGCAGTGACGAAGTAATGCAGAAGTGATGAGGAGGTGATGAGGAAGTGATGAGGAAGTGAGGAGGAAGTGATGAGGAAGTGATGAAGTAGTGACGATGCAATAAAGAAGTGATGAGGAAGTGATGAGGAAGTGATGCGGAAGTGATGAAGCAGTGACGAAGTAATGCAGAAGTGATACGAGGAAGTGACGAGGAAGTGACGAGGAAGTGATGAGGAAGTGACGAGGCTGTGACGAATGAGCCAGGCGTAAGGGACGAAGGATTGTTAAGAGAAGCAGCTTGAACTTGCCCACATACATTCGTGCATTGCAATAGAGTGCTTTGGTTCTCGCAAGGCTCGAACCAGCAGTGTGCTTTCTGCCCATATTCCGATCGACCTGTCTCGCCCGTCATGGCTCAGCCGGCTCAGCTGACTTCAGGTGAGATCAGCCCAGATGACTTTAAGGACATGCTCCAGCGCATGAACGTCTACCAGGTGCCCAAGCATACTTTCCATGACTGTGACGATGGCCCTCTGAGCATCGTGGACTTGCCGCTCTATGACATGAGTCTCAATGGTGTGGCAAAGTGTGTCGTGGATGTGGTCATGGATGTAGATGGCCCTGTGCCCAAGGCTCAAATGAGGGAGGTCTTCATGTCAAGCAGCTTCAGTGACCTTCCAGCTCCATATGGGCTCCCTTACACACTCGACATCTGCGTGACGTCAAGCAGCAGAATGGCAAGTACTGCGTATGTAAGCTGATCAATTTCAAGGAGAAAATGAAAACCGCGCAGGTCCAACCAATGATGTATGGGAAGGCGCACATGGTGGATTGGAAGAACAACGTGAAGTACATGAAGAAGTATGTCCACTACATCTTTGAACACATGCGAGGCTTTCAATGCCGAAACCACGTCCTACGGTCGCAGGAGGAAGGGAAGCCAGAAAACGACAAGACCGAGGATGAGTGGAACTCTGGCTTCGACTTCATTGAAGAGTTCGGACCACGTGACAATGTCAAGAACCGTCAGCTTCGCTGGATCACCATTCAAACCTCCACCGACAGCTCGCCCATCTACAAATGGCCTTCCATGCTGGTGGAGAAGTGCCTCCGCAATCTCTCCTCTGATGGTGTGCTTGCGGCAGTGCACGAAAAGTGGCCTCTCACCCTGTATGACATTGACGGGCGGCTTCTCAGTGCTCTTGCCCCCTTGGTTCCTTCTCTCACTGAAAAGGCCATTGGTTTTCATGGAGAGCCGGGTGCTGGCAAGACTCCGGTGGCCAGGACTATTGCCATGGCCATGTCCAGGTACCAAGTCCGGAGGCTCGGCAAGCTGGGGGAGACACAGCCATCTTTTAGGCAAGCTTGCGAGTTTGACTTCTTCCGTGGCCAATGCGGATCCATCCTGAGGCCAGACATCTTTGATGATGGCACTCTGTGTGAGCAGCCCTTCAAGAAGATCAAAGCCTTTACGGACGTCGGCAACGTGGAGTCGATGTCCAAGGAGAGATGGGGGGCTGCCAAGTGGGTCAAAGGACAGCTCCGCCTTTACTGTGTCAACGACTTTGACTCGACCAAGGAACCGGAGGACACAATGCCCATTGTCGCCAAAAGGGCAGGCGAAGCTTCGTATGTGACGCACACCGACTTCATGAAGATGCTCGACTCTGCTTGGTACCCCAAGGAGAACAGCGATGCAAACATCATGGCGGTGTTGAAAAGGACCACCTGTTCGTCAACACTAAAAAGTTCCTGTACGTGCGTCCAGCAGGAGAAGACAAGCAGCCGGTGCTTAGGAAGCCTTTGAATGATAAGGTCGACTTCCTGGTAGAAGAGTCGCGGCTGATCTACGACTATTACAGGAAGGGTGGCACCGACTTGACTGATGACTTCGACAAGAAGGTGGAGTGGGAGACCAAATGGATTAAGGCTGCCATGGCCGGCAAGAAAGGCAAGGACTTGCCAGTGCGCTGCTTTGTGAGGTACACTAGCCCTTTCCAGGAAGCCAACGCAGAGAGAGCAAGAAGGGAGCATCAAGCCGAGGAAAACATGTACTCTGCTTCCAAGACCAACCTGGACTTGGCTGAGAGTGTGGGAGCCGGAGCAGACCCAGTTCATCGTCAAGCCCGCCTCCGGCAGGCAACAAGCTCAAGCGCAAATCCACCTTTTCCTCATTGTTGGTGACAAGTGCGGAGTGCATTGAGATTAGCGACTCGCCGGTGAAGAAGAGCGCCAACCTCCAAAATTACCAGCCAGACACTGCCCGAGTCAAGATTGAGATGCCTGGGCCCACCGAGAACTCGGAGGACCCGAACATTGTGACGAGTGTGCCATTGGACCAGCAGAGTGAACTGCTTCAAGAGGAAGGAGTTCTGATGGAGGAGACGGAGTCTGTCATGGCTGAAGCTGAAGCGTTCCAACGCGAGATGGAACAAGAGCTGGAGACAGCGATGGACGAGATGGACATGGATGTCGAGGAAGATTGAGTTTGGGTCTTGTGCCCATAGCTGGTGGTAGAATATAAACAGGCTGCGCTGCACTCAATGGGTATTAATGCAAAGATAGAGTTTAGGTCTTGAGGCCATAGCTGGTGCAAGAACATAAGCAGGCTATGCTGCACCGAACTGGTGTTAGCCAGCTGCAGGGTGGTCGCTACAGTCAAAAAATGCATGCGTGCTCACAGACTGCACAAAGCCAGAATGCGGACAATGCGTGTGAGCTCATGGGTTTGATGTGGTCTTAACACAAACGCGCGCCATTGTTAGGCTTTGTGCTAGTGCATGTGCTGGATTTTACGCTCGCAAGGCTCCAGCGGCTTTTTAGAGTCGATTAGTTTAGCAGTGCGCCCTCCTTGTCTTCTGACAATGCCTAAGCCAATGAAGAAGGCAAAGAACCCAAAGCCATGGCCAGTTCCAAAGCGAGGTAAGGCTCGTGCTCGCCAACAAACAAAATCGAGATCATCAGCTATGAAGCGCAAGCCAAATCCTTCTTATGTTCGCCACAGACAAGTCACCGTCAAAGGCAAGCACAGGTGGGGCATCTCTGCCCACACTCTCCTGAGCACTAAAGGTAGAGAGCTGATCCGCTTGCTGAAGAAGAACGGCCTACTACATGCCTGGGAAGGTCGAGCTTTTCCACACTGTGGTGACGGCCTCATGGGCCCTTTGCTCTATGAGAAGTGCCGGCGCACCTGGACCCATCGCTGCTCAAAGAGAGGTTGCCAGCGGTTTGTGCGGCCCCAAGACTTCCATCCCATTTTCTTCGGTGGATCAGGAGCAAGTGTGACCAGCCTGCACCAGCAAGCCGCTGCTCTTTGCTGCCAGTGGCAGGTGTGCCGCAGGCATCTGCGACCCTTATCCTCGACATGGATGATAAGCCAGTGCAAAAGGTTTACAGCAACCTGGAGATGTGCCGTGCCCGGTATGTGCAACGCTCAAGGCCGAGCGCGACAAGTGCGTTGAGCTCACGGAGAAGGTGGAAAGGCGATCGCTGAGTGGTAACACCGTCGCTTCGTCGGATTGCTTCGTCAGGTACCGCGAGCAGGCGGTGACGACCCAGGGCCAGCTGATGGAGCAGGCGAAGCAGATCGCGAAGCTGACGGCTCTTCAGGCGATGGATGAGAGCGCGTGTTTTTTCATGTTTTTTCGCCATTCTTGAGAGGCCTCTTCGCAAAGCAGGAAACGCACGGCCCAGGCAAGGATGGGGATTCACATTGCGGCTTTTTTTCTTGACCGGCTGGTGCAGGAATCGGAGCCGGCACCTTCATCTGCTCGGTACTCATTCCCAGGTCGCAGTTGTCGTTGCTGCTTTTTTTTCCTAGGCGAAGACCTCGGCGAAGACGCCGATCCGATCTGTCGACCTGAGCATCGCCAGGAGGCCCTCCTTTTCCGCGCACATGTTTTCTCATGATTGCTCTGTCAGGTAAGGGCTGAGAGGCGAGATCAACCACGGTGCCCGCAAAAGTCGCGCTTGGGCCTTCCGGGATGGGAGGGGAGGGGTGGGGTCGGGGGGGTGCTGAACAAGCACCCGTAAACAGCGCTGAGCAAGCGCTAGTAGTAGTAGGAGGTGCTGAGCAAGCACCAGTAGGAGGTGCTGAGCAAGCACCGGTAGGGGTGCTGAGCAAGCACCGTAGGAGGTGCTGAGCAAGCACCGGTAGGAGGTTGTGATACTAGCTCGCCCAACGACCCTTAGTACTGGCTCGCCCAACGACCCTTAGTACGAGTTCGCCCAACGACCCTTAGTACGAGTTCGCCCAACGACCCTTAGTACGAGTTCGCCCAACGACCCTTAGTACTGACTTGCCCAACGGCCCTTAGTACTGAAAGAGAAGAGCATCGTCTTTGGCAGTGTCAATGAGTGGCTGGACGTGGAGGCGGATGAGGTGGACTTGGGCAAGGAGGAGGTTTTGGCAGGCACGAAGCTTCAGTGGGAACAATGGGGCGGTATTGTGGAACGTGGCCGACCAGAAACACTGATGCTGCTCAGATTGAAGCCATCTTTGACCAAGAAGAGGTCGCCAGGCCCGGGTGCCATCAGGAAGCGGGATTGGACGCCTATTGGGCAAAGACACTTGGCTCAACGCAAGGTCATCTTGCACACAGATGGAGCGCGAGCATATAAAGCAAAACTTCCAGGTGTTCTGCATGACAACGTGGCGCACAAGCTCAAGAAGGTGACTGTGAATGGTAAATCCGTTTGGGTGAGGCCTCACTATACAAAGGTGTGCAAGCACAAGCTCCCCAATGGCTCCACACTATGGGTGAAGAGTGGCACCCAAATCATCGACAGATTCTGGGGCTCACTGCGGAAACATCTCCGGCATATCCCACGCAAGGTGGGCAGCGCGCGCCTTCGCATCAAGATCAAGTCTGCGCAATGCATTTTATGGTTTTGGTGGGTAAGCACTGTGCACAAACCAAAAAAACACATGTGTTTTTTGGTTTTTGGGCTCCATAAGCTCAAAAAACCAAAAAAAACTCGAGGAAAACCAAAGAAAACCAAAAAAAACCTCGAGAAAACCAAAAAACCAAAGCAGTCTTCCAAAACCAGCCAAAGTCTTTGGTTTTTTGGTTTTTTTGGTTTTCTCGAGGTTTTTTTGTTTTCTTTGGTTTTCCTCGAGTTGTTTTTAGTTTTTTGAGCTTATGGAGCTCAAAAAACAAAAAACATCAAACAATGACGGTTTTTTACCACTCGGCCGAAAAAAACTTCAAACACTCACTGTTTTTTTTGCACTTTCTACTGCTGAGATGCAATTGGTTGAGGGCCGAAATCCGGCCGGTGTTTTCCTGCAGTTGTACTTCCAAAACATGTAGAAAACACCGTAAATACCAGTGTTTTGTAAGGGTTATATAAACTGAGCAATGCAAATGTAGTTCATGGGGGGGGTGACCAGATATATATATATATATATATAAATATATATATATATATATGTATATATATATATATATATATCCGCCATGTTTAAAGTATTCTCCGCTGGGTCTTTGCTTTCTTTCGCCTGAAAGAAACGATTAGGAGCCCACAAGAGCTTCGATCGCACAAAACCTCACCAAAAACTCAGGCCGTCGATTCCTGCAATTTGCACAGAGGAGATTCACGGACCGCAATGGTGGAGTGTAAAGATTGGGTCAGCTTCCTGCGTGCAAGTCGTTCTTCGGACGGCACAGCGCCAAGAAATGTCAAGCCTTGTTCATCACAGTCCAGAAGTGGAGCTATTCGTCAGCAACTCTGGCTCCACACATCAACGGCTACCCACTCTCAGAATCCAAGTGGATGAATATGGGGTCATCAGTAAGATAGCCAACTACATACCATGCTCCGTATTTAGGTGTGGCGGTGCGCCACTGCGACATGATTTACAGACGTTCGAGCCTTGCAAAACTGCGGGAATACAAATATTGCAATTGCAAAGTACAACCAGGAAAAAGAGAGAACACACACACACACACAAAACAACAAAAAAAACACGGGTCCCTGACGTTGACATATGACAACGAACCCCACCGGGACGGACGGACCGATGCCTGAGGCGTCCTTCGGCGCCTGCGCTGCGGGCCCAGATGGCAGATTCACCTCAACAGGGCCACGGATTGTACTAGGGAACCACCTCAGAAGTGAGTGGACATGAAGCTCCAAATTATGTCCGCCAAAGGGTCTCTTATTAAGCAGGGCTCCTTAAAAGATACATTTTGCCACCAGTTGAAACATGGCTTTTTCAACACCAAAATCCAGGGACACTACCATTTACAAGGCTTTGCTCAGGTGTATATGTAAGGATCCCTGGGCTTCTAAAACACGGAGGCACATGGGACATTTGGGGTGGGTTTATCAGTGTTTCCGATATTTGTTTGTGGTGAAAGCAGAAATGGCTTGACACCAAAAGGAACCCGTCACTACTGTTGACACGCTGCCATGTCGAAAGGAGTGTGTTCAGGGCTCAGTTGAAGAGAACAGCTTATGCCCAAACACCGACTTTCAATCTTCCACGCCCATGAGAGCACATGTGCGGTTTGTCCGTGATTTGCATTCCGGGCAACGATTTCACACTTCGCATCACTGCTAAGACTATGACTATAACTCTGACAAGCACTTCAGATACCATCAAACTATGACTACAACTACGACTGCTGACTGCTGACTGCTGACTGCAAACTGCTGACTGCTGACTGCTTCCACCACTACTGCTTTTGCTGCTGCGGCTTCTACACTACTGTTGCTTGTGAGATTTGGAACCTGAATGTGGCCGCGGCCATGTCATTTTCTGAGCTCAGCTGAGCTCAGCAGTGCCCCTCTGGCCTCAGGACAGCGAGATGTTGTGAGCTGGAAAAAGAAACGAGCGAGCGCCAGGTTTTGGGGGTCCGGGCAAAGGTGTGGGTTCCACTTTTTGATCCCAAGATAGACTTCAACCCCGAAATTCTCTTTTTTTTGGGAGGGGAAGAACCAGCCCTGAGTGTAAGTCTACCCTGAAATACTCAACAAACGGAATCCGGAAGGTGTGTTTCTCAAAATCCGGGCTTGCAGGCAACTCTTTGGGAGATCGCTTTGCACAATGGCTGAGGGTTTTTCGGCAAAGCATTCCTGCTTTGGAATCGCCAAGTTTGCCTTTTCTTGTGACAACCTTTGACGAAGCGTCCGTGTGAGTGTGCATCAAGCTTTTGTAAGGCTGTTTGGAGGCACAAGTTCATCATGACTTGTGCAACCGGTTGACACCTGAGGGCGAGCATAGATTGGGGTTGCACTACGGATGGCAAGCTGAGTCAAGAATCTAGTGGAACCGATCCGAGCGGTAAGGGAATTCGGGAGGCTGGGCAAGGCCGTGGTTGTCACCGGCGGATTGGCTGGCATGACCCTTGGTTTCTGCTTCATGAGACCTTGCACAAGGTCTCATCGAAGCCTCGGACAACTTGGCAAGGTTGTGAGCTTTGGATTTGGTTCTTGGAGAACGGTCATGCGAATAGCCAGTCTTCGAATGAGGCTTGTGTTCTCTGCGGTTGTTCCAACAAGGCGTCACGCTGCTGGTGCGAGCGTTTCTTGCCACGCAGCCGTTGCCACTTGAGCCGCAACCAAACAGACTTAGACGAACCGACGGCCCCCCAACCAAAATCAGGCGCGACCGCCCTTTTGATTCTGTACGTGGTTTTTGGATGCAGACCATTGCATTCCTGCTGTCCCTGCTGGGACTTGAGGCCGACGGTTTTCTTCCGAGGGAAAGCAGTTTCAGCGGAGCACTGCTTGCGAAGCTGATCTAACCCCAACAGATGGCTAAAAGGTTTCCATGGGAACAGAAGTTTGGGTATATGCCCGCCCAAGCCCAAGCCAAAGTCCAGCCCCACTGAGTGCCTGCCGGCCATGGTCACTGCGCGAATTGATTGCCATGGAGGCAGAGATGTGTGTCGGTGATGTGAAAGGACTAAAGGGGCGCCAGATCCGGGCAGCCAGAGTTTTCATTTCCAGTCTGGCAAGTTTCAGGCTGTGTTCAAAGAGACTCAAAAGGAGCAGGTGGCAGTTTTTTTTGGGGGGGACAGATCAGGTCGCTGCTTGTTTGGATCAGGATGCGGGGAGGGGCAGAACATTTTGAGACGTCTTTAATCCAGTGTCTAGTGGAGGATCGTCAGAAAGAGAGTCAGTTGAAGAAGGTCAGGTCCCAAAATGGCTGTGGGTCAAAATTAGGTACCCAAAATGGAACCCTGGTAAATGGAAGCATGGACTAAAACCCGCGGTCCCCTGGTGGTTTAATTTTGACCCACACCCAAAATATCAAAACCCATCGCGAATCCTGGGCTCCACTGGCACGATAGTTGTTGTGTGGACGATCATGGCCAGCCGGATGTAGTATCTGTTTCCCATCCAGGCTTCTTCTTCTTCTTCTTCTTGTTCTGCTTCTTCTTCTTCTTCCGGCCCGGCTTGGTCTCTGTGGCTTTGTTGCTATGGCCCTTGCTGTCTCTAGAGCCCAGGGGCTCTCAGTGAGAGGTTCTCACCTTGCAGCTGGGGCACTTTGCCAACCACGCCCGGGCCCCGGAGCTTCGATCTGCGGTCCAGGTCCCACGCTTCAAGGGCCCGTACACAACGTCGCGCTGGTCGGAGTTAAGTTCCTGTCTTGCCATGCCACTTTTTGTTGTTTTTCTTCGGGAAGCCCTTGGTTTCATGAGGCTCACCGTTTTTTTTTTTAGATGGGTTTCGACATCGAGAGCGGACTGGGAGCTTGCAACTTCTGGAGCCTGTACCTTCTTGGCTTGGTCTTCGGTGTGCTTGGCTAAGAGCTGTATTGGCATGGTCGGTTTCCTGCGAGTTCCTCAGAAATCACCAAGTCCCTCTAAAATATATTTATAGAAAACAAAGCAAGCGCGTAATTTTGATCTGGTTTCTGATTCTTGGGCTCTTATTGGACCCTAACCAAAGGTTGATGCGAGCGCGCTCAGGTAGGCGCACACTTCTGGAATTTCCAGGATGAGGCAGCAGCGCAGGAGTGCTTTTCCGCAAGAGGTGCAGTTCAGATGGCAACTCCCGCGGTTTCTTGGTCTTTGGAGAAACACAGTCTTGTAGCAGGGCTCCTTAAAAGATACATTTTGCCCATTTGAAACATGGCTTTTTCCACCAAAGTAAAGGGACACCACCATTTACGAGGCAATGTTCAGGTGTATAATGTAAGGATCCCTGCTGTAGTTCACCCAGCTTCACCATCTTTCGCGGTGCAAAGGTTTTTGCACACTTTGAGAGCGCAAGGAATGGCTTAGACAAATCAAGCATTGCCGGCTGGCGCTGCTCTTTCCACACTTGGCGCAGGAAGTTGTCGTATATAGCCCTAGTTCTGGGCGCTGAGCCGTTCTGGATTTGGAACCGAGATGACAAGTGAACAGCTCAACGCTAAGGCCTAGGGTTCTTTGTTTTTCAAGCGCCGGGGAGAGAGTCCTCCTTTGCCAGCCTCCAACTATGCCAGGAGTCAGAGGATAGTTCGCCGTAGCCTCGGGGGAGGTAATGGGGGAAAATAGACACCGACTTGCAGGCGTGTTTCGCATCAGGGATCACGCCAACTAAAATCTAAAGGGGCTGGGTCTGGCATGGCCGGCTTCAACCAAAAACCAGGCGCAGCTGGTCGCCCCCGCTTGCGTCGCTTTGTTTCGAAGTGCCGACTCTTTCCTGCGGCAAAGAAAGAGGAGATCTCATCGACGGGTCATCTTAGACTCCCAAAGTTTTCACAGCTTGCGAGAACCTGCGCTTGCTTGAAGTGTTGGCAGGCCCGCATGACTCGACCATCCAGCGGAACTTGCATCATCGGGCAATCGAAATTCAAATGAGATCCGTGAAGCACTGGGCGCCTTTCGACTCGATGCCCCACGGTGTACACGAACGGAGGATTGACCATGCCCGGCTTTTCCACTACTCGGAGGCCGCGAAGGCCGTCACCTGGAGGCGGGAATTCCGACTGGGGTCATTATTTGGACTGTTTCTGGGGGTTATCAAAGTCGGAAAATGGAATCGGTTGTTTCGCTTTAACCCACCACTGAACGGGGGTGACTTTGATCATGGCAAAGGACTCAGGCCAGTCCGAAGCCGTCGGGATGGACACAAGTGCCACTTTTGGTGACGCATGCTTCAAACGCGCCATGGTGACGTTGGATTCATAGACCCCGTCCAAGTTTGCAAGTCATGCAGGCCTCCGTTTCCACTGCATCCATTTGACCGGGAAACGGTGAAACGGCTGACGTCCACGCTCGCGGAAACTGACCAACAGGTTTGAGAAGACGACTTTTGGGGAACCCCGTTGTCTTCTCAACAAACGACAGAACGTTTTGAGGAACCCCCTTTTGGGGAACCCCCTTTTGGGCAACCCGCAGACTATTTTTCGGGGGCCAACGACCCTTTGCGAGGATCCCCCGAGTGATTGACCGAGAGGATCCCTCAACTCGACAAAGGCATAAGCCTGGGCCAATCAGCTCAAGAGTTGACGTGGCCCTTGAATTCCATTGGTCAACTAGGTCCTCCAGTAGAGAGGCTAGCATAAGGGTACCCGATGTTTTTTCGGTAGTCTATTTTTAGTAGGGGAACCCTCCCAACCAAAAAAGGGGGGAAAAAGGGCACCTAGATGGGGGACCTAGTCAAGGGAGCAGCCACGCAAAGACATGGAGGAACGTGAATCCCCTGCCCAGCGTGCCCCTCAGTGGTCTGTTTGCTGCGCCCTCACCCTTTGGCGAAACGACATACTTGTGACCCAGGTGCGTGCTTGACCTATCAGAAAAGTCCTTCTCAAAAGATCGCATGTACCCATCTTACACTGTTTTCACATTGCTCTTGCTGCCGCAAGTTCTTCTGCCTTATGTTTCCAGATGAGTTTCTGTCTCAATCAGCTCAGTTTGTCTGACTCAATTCTAAAACACATCAGCTGTGCAGCCAACAACCCGCTGAGACGATGGCGGAGCCTCATTTTGCACGGCCACGCGGTGACCACAGGGCGAAGGAGTCTCCACGGAAGCCCTTCATATGCCCCGAGAGCAAAACTCTAGGGGTGCCTTCCCCGTTCTTTCCAGGAATCCGACTCTTTCTTGAACACCTCCGGACACCCTTTCGGGAACACGGATCCGGTTGTTGAAAGAACGATGGTTGAAGAGAATGGTTGGAATCAACCCCTAGAAAAAAGCCGTAGGGCGATTTCAAGGCCGAGTTTCCCTCACCACCTTCTTGAAGATTTGCGCTAATCGGTCAGCACTTGAGAACTTATGGAGCAGGTCAATCAGCGTGCAGACGGAAGTGTCGAAGTTTATGACTCCTATTTGCGTCGGCGTTTTCTCTTCTTCTTTCTTTTTTTTTTTTAGACAAGAACCAATGCATGGTGTTATGGAAAAAAACCCGAACACCCAATGTTATTGGTTTTTGACACACACCCAATGCATGACCCTGGGATCCCATCGCGAGGCCTCGGCTGGTGGCGGTGGACAAGCAGGGCGCCCTGGGCGGCGCTGGGCCGGCCATCGAGACCCAGGCAGAAGCCAAGGCCGGGCCTCGGGGCGCTCGGGACCTCGGGACGTTGGGACGGCGGATGGCCATGTGGGCCATGGACGCAGGGTTCGAAGCACCAGAAAAAAAAACCAAAGGGTCTATTGGGACTGCCAGTATTTAGTGGGGGTTGAGGGTCTAGGGTGATGGTGGGGTCTAGGGTGATGGTGAAAATGGCAAGGCAACCCACCTTTTCGGAATGAATCCACCTTCCCCGAAAGGGTAAGCTGATGGTTGCAATGGCCACTGTTTTGGTTGGAGTCCATACCGGAATCCCCTTTGCTTTGGATTTCACAAACTCATGGGGACCCCATGGGGATGGGCCATATATCGGAGAAGCGGGGGGTGAGTTTCTAGCTGTTCTAGGGGCTTTCTTTTCAAAGACCGTCTGGGTTTTTGATGGTTTCCTGAAAAGATTCGGATCCCTGGAAAGACTGGGGAAGGTACCCCTAGAGCTGTCCTGGGATTCCCTCCCAACATAAAACCCCAAACCAGACACATGGCGGCCCTTCGTTGAGGAAGCGCTAGCCTGTGGCTTCTACTCATCTTTGGTGGGGGCCCCCAACCATAGGTGTCCTTGTTGGTTGGTTTGACTACTTGGCGGTTCAATTATCTACCAGGGCCATCTATTCTTCAAAGAAAGACACCTATGCCCAGAACATTGGTTTCTTGTTTTGGTTGCAATGGAGAACATGGTCTGCTTGCTCCTGTTGGCAAGGCGTGCATGCAAATCTACCTTGCAGCTTTTTGCACTGTGCACGACAGCATGCGACACATTGCGTCTTTCAAAAAGGTGGTTGCTTTCTTGTGGAGGGGATACCCATGGATTCAGCTTATTTAGGGTGTTCTATTTTATAGAAGTCCAGAAACAACTGCACCACTCGTGCCCAACAAGACACTCCCTCCGCCTGCCTCTAGTGGTGTGTCTGCCTCTTTTTGCTTGCGCATTGCAAGGCTCGTTGAATCAAAGTTGAACAAGCATGTTGCAGTCACTGCCAGTTTGCCAGCTTACTTTGGTGCAGGGTGGTTCAGCTTCGGGCCGGTTTGTTGGCAACTGGCACAACTCGCTTTCATCATTGACCTCAAGACCTAAAAACATGCATTTTGTTCACCCGCGTTCATCCCTAGGTCCCCCAGTAGTGCCCTTGTACCAACTTTTTTGGAGGAGGATTCGATTCCCCTGCTAAAATAGACTACACACAAAAAGTCAGGTACCCTTATTGTAACCTCTCTGCTGGAGGACCTAGATCCTCCGGGAGACCTTTGGTTTTCACCAGCTTAAACGATTCATCGGTCGCTGCAGGAGCCAGATGAGGCCATCGGAACTCCGAACCGGGCGGTCCACGGTTCCCTCCAACAAGAAGCTGGAAAGGAGAAACGGTTGCCAGGTGCAGCTTCAACTTTGCGGGCGATTTTTTTGGGAATGCAATGCTTTCTACTAGCACTTTCTGTTACTGTATCGCGATCTTTCACGCGCCATACTTTGAACTTTCGTCTTGTATCATTCCAGGGTCACTTGATGAGCTGCGAATCACGCCAGCGGCCGCGGTCTTTTGAATTAAGATGAGATGCTTTATGTTTGGCAACCAAGGAAGCACAGGTTTACTCTCTTCAACTTGCTGAGGTCAGACTCTGCCTGGCCGTGCGAGCTCAAAACATGTTCCACATGATACAAGTTGTTGCGCTCCATGTGCGCTGCAACAAACAAACATTTGTTGCCTGACTGCAAAAACACGTCTGCGCCTTCCACACAGCTGCAGCCAAGATCAGCGTTGCAACGCATGTCCAGTGGTTTCTTCTTGTAGAAATTCGAGCTTGCGGCCCGAGTGTCAGTCTCAACCAGAATTGACGCAACTAGCCACAAGTCCGAGAGTACGATCACGCCTCAAGCAGCTGACCCAGAAACTCGAGTTCTAAGCAATATCATGGATGACCTGTCGCTCATCTCGCAGCGCATCCTTTCCATTCATCAGATCGCGCGTTGGCCTTCGCTTTGCAACTCTCGGCGAGTCGAGCGCAAAGTGCAGGTCATGTCTCCCGGATCTCCATCGCTCATCTGGTTTTGTGGCTTTCTTTCACCCATGACCCATGTTTTGTGGCAACATGCTATGAAAGAAAGTGAGCGAAGAGAAGGGGAGAGGTGTGTGTTTCTTCGGGTTACTTCGACGCGATGCACCTCTCCCGGCCTTTCCAAGATCCAGGCACTTCAGGTGTGGTTCAACAAGGTCAAAGGTTCCTCAACTCACACTTGCAAACAAACCGGAACCACTGTTCAGGCGCCCTCTTCTATGGTTTTTTACCATGGCCTTTTCATTTCTCACGAAAACGGTCGCCAGGTTGGCAGTGCTCAGCGACCACCCCACGTCTCGGATTTGGATTTGTCGTCCTGCGCCAGGGCATGTGGCTGGGCAAGCTGGAAGTGCTGCGTGCCGCGCCGGTAGGGGCACCGAGTCGAGGCAAAGCTTTGGCGCTAAGTTTCAGAAACACAACCCACGACACACAACACACAAACAAACAGCAACACACACACACACACACGATCACATACACAACACACAACGCAACACAACACAACACACAACGCAACACAACACAACACACACACACACACACCTCCTGTTGGCAAGACAGGCTGCAATCCACGTTTGTCAGAGCCTTAATTATGTCTTCCTTGTTTTTGCTCACCCCGTCTTCTTTATGCCCAATTGCTCCGTTCCGTTCCTCAGCTCTCTCCGGATGGTCAGAGATACTGCAACCCACATTTGCTGGCTGTCGCAAAGCGTACGGTTGACGGCAGTTCCACAATTCAATTGCGGCACAGGGAGGCGGCTTCTGCAATTCCGACGTTGCTCAAAGTGCGGCGCAGGGAGGCGGCTTTTGCAATTCAGACGTTGACCCAAATCTTGGTTCGATGTAGGCACTCCGTTACCATCATGGCGCCAGGTTGACGTGTATTTGTGTTTGCCGCAGATGCATCCAGATCCTTTACAATTTCAAAAGAACATCAGCAGATACACTGACCCTGCCACAGCAGGAGCGAGAGCAACCATCATTTGCTGGCTAGCTGTTGAGAGTTTATTTTTGTATTCATGCGTGCTCACCCCCGTGCTTTCCCTTGACACATTCTGCACCCCAAACCTCCTGTTCTGGTTTATGCACAATGCACCGTGTTCCTGTTTACACACCCCTCAGCAGATACACTGACCTCTTCTCGCCCGGCAAGAGAGACATTGATCCGCATCTTGTGTTTCTGAGAGTTATTTCGGCGTTTCCTTCTTGCTCGCCCCAACCTCGCCCTTCGCATTTTGTCAAAACACCCTCCCGTTTTCCGGTTTTGGCCCCCATGTTCCGGGTGCAACCCCCCTTGTCTGAGACCGTATCGCTCTTTGCTAGTGGTACGGAATTACCCTCCCACCAACTAACATGGAAGTGCAACAAGTTCCTTTCCAAGAGGAAAGTAGTCTTTCTACAGGGGTCTGCGCACTTCCACGTTAGCTGGTGTGAGGGCACAAAGATGCTTATCACGGAAAGCAAGGCCATTCCCTCGGAGTATTGGCTGCGTCTTCTGCGCGGGCTGTTTTTGACCAGGAAGTACCGTGGCAAGAGGCGGGGGTGCACCAACAGGCCAACGTGAAAAGGTCAACAGATGGTGATGATTGGCTCCAAGCGCATGGGTCTAGATGGTTGAAGGGAAACCTCAAAAGTACTTTTGACTTGGTGTTAGTGGGTCAGTGAACAGATGCCGTCTCCTGTTCCACCAAGTGATCTGTCTTTTTTTTTTTTTTTTCGGATTATCCTTCTTGGATGGCTTTAAAGGACAATCAAAAGGACAACCACCAATTTGGGGTCCGACCTCAAAAAGCCGAGCCGCCCATATTAGTCTTTTCCAGGCTTATCGTAACTTGCAAGTGTTTTGCTACTGTTACACTGTTCCGCGCGGCCCAATTGAAATTGCACCCACCATTTGAGTTACCCCTCTTTCCAACACCCATGGAAGTGGACAGAGGGGCTGCCCCAAAAGGACAGGATCTCTCCGATCGTGAGGTTGGAGGGTAATACAAAATGGTTTGAGGAAGCCAAAATGGTCGACCTTTCAGGTGGTGAAGCATGCCTTTCAGGTGGTGAAGCATGCCTTTCAGGAGGACCTCGAAGATGAGGCGGCTTGCATCCAAAGGGTCGGGTGAGTTCTTGGAGCAAAGAAAGGGACTGCCCAGTCATCCTTTTTCGTACTGGTTCTATAGGGGAATGAGAAACGGAATGACTAAAAAACATCCCCGGTTTGATTTTTTCTTTAAGGGAATCCCCACAACCGGTTCATTCCCACAACACTGGGTCATTCCCTACGCACCAGCCAGTTTTCTCGTTTTTGGGCGCATTTTGTTCCTAAGGGAATATCAAAGGCAAGCCCGAAAACCACTGTATGGGTTAGCCCTCGCCAGCACCACTCCCCTTCTGCCCTGTGCGGGCCTCGAGCCAAGGCTGTTCATGGCGCACGTAGATCTTTACCATGGTAGGACCCAACTGGGTTTCGGGCGTGTGTGATCACATCTGGGATCGATCAGTGTTTACCAGTGCCATCCACTTTCGCCGGCTGCGCTCCTTGTAGCCCAGTATCGCGCAGGAAAAATGCGCAAAGTAGCAGTTGTTTGAGGGCATGACACACCGGGCATATGCAGACCAATTTGTCGGAGACACCGTGAGCGCGGCGATTTTGCAAACTCGAATTGGAGGCGGGAGTTGATATTGTGCCATTCTCTGCCAGGAGATGGAGGAGGAAGTGGAGTCCGAGCGGCGAGGCGCCTAAGCCAGATCCAAGCATCCTGGATGCCTACCAGGGCCGCTTCCAAAACCGTCCCTGTGCTTCTTGGATCATGCTTTTCAGTAACTTGTTTTGGGTATTGCTTGGTTGTCTTTGGGGGCTGTCGTGGCCGAATAAGAAGCTGCCGTATCTCTTGTCAGGTTACGAAGAGATCTGGCATGTTTGGAGCTGAAATCAAATCCGCCGTGGTCGATGGGTCCCAACAGGCTTGCCATTCTCGCTGAACAACAGGCATCCAAGTGGCCAGAGGGGGACGGGCTCACCTTACTTGTGTGGATCGCTTGCTTTGTCAGCACCTAACAAGCCTTGTCAAGGTTAACCGGGGTGAATACCATGGGTAGGGACAATACAACTCCACGTATTCTCTCAAAGCGGCAACAAAAGCAATGCTTTCGTCACATGATCGCACATGGTTCTGATGGTTTCTTTTCCTGATCCCTTGTTTTCCGCATGGTCAGCTTATCTCATTTCTCTTTGGATGCCTTAAAACAATCCAGTGATTCTAGCTTCATCTTTTTTTTGGAGGGCACACTTTCGGTGTTTGTTCAACGGCAATCCGGGTCTGTCATTGTTAAGGCCACCCTTGTTTGGGTGGCTTAGGGAATCGCCTTGTGTTGGGCGCAAAAGCCACAAACCCGTGAAGCCCGCGACGGGACAGGGGTGAAGACCTGGGCAGAGTGCGCCTGGGTTGGAGGGAATTGTCCTGCCGATTGCTTTCCCTTTACCCCAAACTTGCTGCGAGAGATGCAGGGAACGAGAGGTTCGGAAGGACCCTTATGACACCCTCCTGGTGGTTTTCCCTAAAGGGGGACCAAACCCTGGGTTCCTGGATTCCTCCCCCATGCTTTACTGCGCACCAAGCAAAGACACACCCGGCCGGATTTCCGTTTCTTCTTTTTGCGATGTGAACGCCGAGTTGGAGGTTTCCTTGAGCTTGCACACACCTCAGATGGTGTTCACCCCCTTGAGTTGGAGGCGTCATATGTCAGCTCCCAAACCATTTGGTTTGGACCCCGGTGTGGAGGTGAGGAGTCCTCAAAGGCCAGGAGTTCGACTCCCCAAGCGAAACCAAAAAACTTTGGTGCATTTTGCTTGGATGTTAGGACTTTCACTTTTTGCCAAATGTTTTTTTCATATTAAACCACTAACAGTCAAACTTTTAGAGGGGATCAGAAAGCAACCGAGAAAAGGCGATTCCAGCCGCAATTCGCTTCTGCTCGAGGTACGACTTCCGGAACACCGTGCGGACCTGGACAGACTTCCTCAAGGCGCGTCTTCGCTTGGGTCGCGTCTCTGGGGTTTGACCGGCTCAAGCTGGGCTTCGGATTGCCTTGTGGTGTTGTCAATTCAACTCGGAGCTTGTTTCTCTACCTTGCCTGAGGGTGACTGGCTTCGAAATCTTTTGCCCTAGCGGACCATACGAGACATGATCGTGAGTTCATGTTGATGCCCCATTTCTGAGCAGCGAAGCACCGCCGCCCTGTGGCCTTGCAACCGACCCTTCCAAGCGATGGATGTGAGGCCCGTGCTTCACAAGAGCCGGTTGCTTAGGTTCTGTTGGACTAGGATTTGGAGGCAGCTTCGATTTAACCCACCAAAGGTTAAACTTGTAGCAGGGGATCTGAGGACAGCCCAGGATAAACACAAGCTGCAACGTGTTTTGGCGGGCCTTGCACCGGCGAGCAATGAGCACACACGGGCCACCGGGAAGGTCTGCGATTCGTGGTTGTTTCGAGGGTACCATTGGCAGGTTGGGTTTTTGAGCAATACACAAAGAAGGGGCCAACTCGGGGAGGTCTCCCCGAGTGCTTTCACCTTTGCATCTTTACCCTCTTTTTCATGGATTTCGAGGAGGGTAACACCAAAAATATCCATTTATGGTTCCGTGCACCTAAAGATCTAGGGGTACCTTCCCCATTCTTTCCAGGCATCCTTCTTTCTAAAAGTCACCCAAAACCCTGGAAAAACAGATCCGGTTGTTGCAAAGAAGGATGGTTGAAAAGAATGGAAGAGGAAGCAACCCCTAGAAAAGAGGAATGAACCCCCCACCGACCCCCCCCAGAACCCCTCCAGAATCCCTGGGATGGCTGAAAAGAATGAAATTGGGGACCCCTCCCTTAGAAGGCGGGGGATACCTTTGCCACAGCCCCTTTCGCAGGTGCAGCTTGGGAGCGTCTACGAGCTGCCACGCGTTCAGCACGGGGCCAGCCGGGAAGTCGAAATCCGGAGGGCGGACGGTTGGTTTTCTCCCTTTCCCAAAGAAGAACCAAGCAAAAAACAGTTTTTTTTGGGGTTGTCTTAAGAAACAAGGCCGGGTTTTGGTGTTGGGAAAGTTTTTTCTTTCAGTTAGCCTTTGGGTTTTCCCGGAGTTGGCAACAATATTTAGTCAAAGTCAAGGCTCCCAAAAAAAAGGTGAGATACCAAGGGAATCCTCTTTATGGTGATAAACTAGTCATATGGATGGCAACCTTTTAATTCATCCCTGATTTGGTGCATATTGAGTCAAGGTTCCAAAAGTTTAACCCTTTTTGTTCCGAATGCGCAGCAGAAGGGTTCCCATGATAGAAAGGGGTCTGGGGGCGGCAAACGGTACCGTGCTGCTGGGGAAGGCTCACAATGTGCGAGTTGCATGACTTGCAACATGCGGTTTTGTTGTGCCAGTGTAGCTTTTGCGGCAATACGTTTCGTTTCGCTGCGCAGGCGCAGTGTTTGGAAAGGTTGCACGTTTGTCTCGTCGCGCCACTGTGATTTGCGATTTTACAGGCGCATGCGGCAGTTGCACGAGTGGCATTTTTGTTGGCCCTGTCTTGCAAGCGCAGCGCTTTCGTTGGTCGCACGTGGAATTGCGCGGCAGGCTTCGCCGGAGGCGCTGATTTGCGTGGCAGGCGCAGTATTTTGGAGGGTCATGTGCAGATTTCGTGGCAGCCGCAGCACTTTGGAGCACATGGCGTTGATTCCGCGGCAAGGAAGCACTTTGGAGCTTCGCGCGTTGAATTCTGTGGCAAGCGCAGCACTTTGGAGCACAGAGGTCTGATTTTGTTGCCGGCGCTGTGTGTTGCAGGGTTGCGCATTGAATTTCGTTGACAGGCACAGCACGTTGGAGAATGCTCGCAGCGTTCATGGAGAAAAGATGCACAGACGGACTGGTAGAGATAGATAGACTCATGGACAGTCAGCTTACCTTAGATAGATGGATAGTTTGGATCAGGTCACATGTGATGAGATGGCAAAGTGAAAAGACTAGAGTAGATTAGTTCAGACTGGATAGGTCGATGGCTGGATTCGATTAGACTAGACAGACCGGTTGGAGTAGATGAGATTGCGTTCGGTGAGGTGTGATTACAATAGATTGGCAAATCTAAATATATGTACTTATTTAGATGCACATAGATCGGTATGAGATTCATTGTCCGAGAGATGAGAGAGAGAGAGAGAGAGAGACAGAGAGAGATAAGTAGACAGACATGGCAGAAGAGGAACATAGGAGAGATACTAGGTAGACAGATAGAAACATGGAAAGATCAGTAGGTTTGAGTAGGTGAGAAAGATACGGATAGGTAGAGACTGACTAGGTTTGACTTACTATCAGATGAGGTTAGATTGGAACAGGTAGATTAGATTAGTTGAGGTTAGACTAGATAAGAAAGTATTAGATAGATAGATAGATAGATAGATGGATAGATGGATAGGTGGGCGTGCAGGTAGATAAATAGATAGACAGGTGGATCGATTTTCAGCTGAGTATAAGGACAACCGGATAGACAGATATGCACAAATAGATGTGTGGATGAAGGACAAATAGGCAGGCAGGTGGATAGAAAACCCACCAAGTCAACAAGCAGGTAAATGGATAGGCAGGGGCACACACACACACGCAACAGTAACTGTAGGCAATTAATCTGCATTCGGGTGCTTGGCTTCTATCGGTTCCAGGTTTTCGCTGGGTTACGTTATTTTTTGTGATGCCGTGGACAGCCTCTTTTTTGGGATAAACTCGACATGTGGAGTGCGGGGTTGGGGGGGAGGGGTGACACCTTGCACGGCCTCCATTACAAGTTTGGTTTGCGAAGTCTGTTGTAACGACTTGAGAGCAATTCCACTGCCTAATTCCAGCAAGTTGCAGAATAGCTTTGTTCAGGTGTATACATCTTCCAAAACTGTCCTGGACGCCGATTATATCCTCTACTTTTCGACGACCTTTTGTGATTCCATGCTTAGGGCACTGTCCTTGCATCATTTTCGCACAAAGTTTCCTGCCCGATATCTAGACATGCCATTTTCGGTTTCGGACGCATTTGGCGGCAGTTTTGGCTAGGGTGGGGTGGGGATGTTCGCAAGACCTGCTTTCTTACAGGTTTGCTATCGGAACATACTCTTGCCACCGGGGTTTCGATCAATTCCCCACGGTGACCACGACAGCTGGGTGTTGGCCCCCATGTCTCGGTGTTTCTTGAAGTTTGGACAGTGAATCGAGCCCTCATTGCAAGCCAACCAGACATCAACCAACTCATTTTTGCAGAGTCCGCAACATGACAAGGGTCCCAGTAGTGATCTTAGGCAGCGATTCCGTTGCGCGTCCTGTCCTGTTCGCAAGCAATTGCCTTTGGCTTCATCCCAATGGTCTTTAAGAGGCCGTTTGTTTTTCTTTCTCCGTTTTCGGTTTTTCCCTGGCGTCTGGCTGCCAGATCTCGCCCTTCCCCTTCTTCTTTGAGGGCTTGGAGGCGGGGCCCGCATTCTTTCGGCATGCCTAAAGGGCCTGGGCGGAGCGGGAATTCAGACAGCCAATTTAGACGGTTGAGTTGAGGAAACCACCACTCCACACGTGAATTGGGTGGCACGCGTTCAGAGGGTCATTTGGGTCAATGGCCTAGCCATTCTCCGGATGATGCGTCCACCAGTTGCCGGGAGCTACGTTTGTTTGATGTTTCCAGATGGCACGTTGTCTTACATAAGGAGCGGCTGAGAGGTTTGTCCCAGAGACAAGGAAAGGGTTCGATGTTGGACAAGGAGAGCATAGCCGTGGGCATGCGGTTGGTCTAGTTTTGAAAGCTGGGCTGTGGGAATACTTCCTTGGCTGGGTGGGTATCAGGCTTGTTGCCCACTAGCGGTACAAGAGCACCCAACTTTTTGTTTTGTGAGGATTGCAGTTGTGACTCAACCGTTGTCACATGCAGCGCGGAGAAAAGCGTGGCAGAATTTCCTTGAAACGCGGAACTTTGGTGGCCGAATTTGATAACGGAACATGGTCCCTCCGCATGAAGGGCCCAGCAAGCCTTCCGCTGGTTCCTTGCAGTGGCCATGCGGCGATTTTCAGGCTTCATTTTTGTGCGGCGTGAGAATGAGCTTTGTGATACCTGAGTTGAGGGATCGAATTGCACTCATCCCACCTGCAAGAAGTGGTCATGAGTTTCAATCGCAAACACCCTCAAAATGGTTGGTGGACATAAATCTGCAAGTGATTTCCACCACAGCGTCCACACGATGGAACATGCATGTGGATGGAACCCAGCAGACGCATCCCAGCGCCGCGCTTTCCGGAAAATAGGGGTGTTTATAATAGCAAAACGTGATGGCCATTTTGGATGGGCCTTTCAGGCTCCCTTTGATTGGCACCACGTTAAATACCCAACAGATTCGGCGACGAGGATATTAACACTTTAACATTTCTAGGTTGTTTAATGCAAAGCCGGCTTGGTCCTTCCTGTTTTTATCATTCTGCCAAATGGCCGCTGAACTGGCCAAGGGGAATTAATTCAGAGTGGAAACTCTGAGATTTAAAGATAGAGTTGCAGTTCATGGCAATGCCACCATGCCTGGATGTCGGCCCACAAGACAAATCAACTTTGACAATTTAAACCAAGCGCACAGTGCTGGCGGCGCTCGATGTTTCTGGAGTGCCTTCCCCATTCGCATTTGAGTCTAAGGTTCTACTGAGCCTCCCCCATAAAGCCACAGTCTGCAATTCGCAGGTGCAGGGTCGCGAGGCGGGGAGGGATGGATCGCGAAAATCGCGCCGTCAGGTTGATGTCGGTTGGGCTGTGCCCTGGTTGCTTTGTCACTCAGAGGGCGGGCGTGGTTGTTTATTGGGAGGAGTTTTCGGGAGTTCTGCCATCGCCCGATGATGGACTGAAGCGGCATGGCGCGAGGAGGAGGAATCCATCTTGGACTTGGTGCCGCGCTCAGTGGACCCAACGCCCACAAGTTGATGACACCAAGTTGATGACAGGGAAAACAGAGATTGATCCGCGTGTCAAGCAAGCTTTCGCGTGGCCTCTTGTGTGGTGACATACTTGTACTCAACCACACGGTGTGAAACGGTCGGTAGCATAGTTTACGCAGAAACTCTTCTCCAGCATGCCCACGAGCAGCTTGCACTCAAAACTAGACAGTCTTCCACAGCAATGCGTACAACTAACAAACAACACAAAGACATGGTTTAGCAACACACACACACATTTTCCCGTCACAAGCAACACCCGCACAAACATCCACACCACACACGACGTGCGCCACACGCATATGCAAAGAAGATTAACACCCAGTGTTCAATTGTATTTCACAATTGCAAATCATACAAGCTTTGGACATCCACCCACCCCCACCCGCGCACATACCCACCAACCCACCCGTGCAAAGGCGTACACACACACACACCCTCGCACCCAAACACGTGTACGTGCACGCACACACCCACCCATCCACCCACCCACCCACGCACCCACGCACGCACGCACGCACTCACTCACGCACGCACGCACGCACGCACGTAGACACACACACACACATAGACACACACACACAATGACACACACACACACAATCACACACACAATCACACACACATGCAATCAAACACACACACAATCACACACACAATCATACACGCAGTCACACAAACAATCACACACACACACAATCACACACACAATCATACACGCAGTCACACAAACAATCACACACACAATCACACAGACAATTAAACACAATGAAACACACAATGACATACACACACACACACAGTCACACACACACACACAATCGCTCACGCACACACACGCACACGCACACACAATCACACACAATCACACACACACACAATCACATGCACACACACACACCACACACACACACACACCCACACGCACACGCACACGCGCACTCGCATGCACACGCGCACACGCGCACGCGCACGCACACGCACACGCACATGCACACGCGCACACGCACACACGCACACACGCACACACGCACACACACACACAATCACACACACAATCACACACAATCACACACACAATCACACACAATCACACGCACAATCACACGCACAATCACACGCACAATCACACGCACAATCACAAGCACAATCACAAGCACAATCACAGGCACAAATTCACACACACAATCACACACACACACAATCACACACAAGCACACAGGCAATCTCACACACAATGACACCCACAATCACACACAATCACACACACACACAATTACACACAATCACACACACAATCACACACGATCACATACACAATCACACACACAAAATCACACAGCAATCACGGACACAATCACACACAATCACACACACACACACAATCTCACACAATCACACACACACACAATCACACACACAATCACACACACACACAATCACACACACAATCACACACACACACACACACAATCACACACACACACAATCACACACACACACAATCACACACACACACAGTCACACACACAATCACACACACAATCACACACACAATCACACACACACACAATCACACGCACAATCACACGCACAATCACAAGCACAATCACAAGCACAATCACAGGCACAAATTCACACACACACAATCACACACACACAATCACACACAAGCACACAGGCAATCTCACACACAATGACACCCACAATCACACACAATCACACACACAATTACACACAATCACACACACAATCACACACGATCACATACACAATCACACACAAAATCACACAGCAATCACGGACACAATCACACACAATCACACACACACAATCTCACACAATCACACACACACACACAATCACACACACAATCACACACACACACACAATCACACACACAATCACACACACACAATCACACACACACAATCACACACACACAATCACACACACACAGTCACACACAATCACACACACAATCACACACACAATCACACACACACAATCACACACACACACAATCAACACAAACACTCACACGCACACACCCAAGCACAGAGGTGCACACGCTCATGAGCCCTCAAGCATGCACGCACACTTGCGGGCGAACGCGCACACGGGCACGTGCCAACGCGCAGGCATGCCACGCACGCGCACGCTCACGTACACGCACACGCAAGCACCAGGCGCGCACCCACAACAGCAAGCATGCAACGTGCCAACCCAACTCTCATGCGGGGCAGCCGATTCATGCACATATTGTTTGGAATCCTTCCTGACAAGGGGGGGGTTTAATGGTGACATGCATGTCAGATGCAGGTTAGACTTCTGCACTTGCCATGGGCGCCGATCTCAACCAGCCTTTTCATGCTTGAAAAACAGGTCGACAGCCGCTGAACAGATGTCTTTTGGGATCTCAGCCAAATGCGAGAGGCGTCTGCTTGTCAGACTTAGGCTCGGCGACAGACGGAGCTCTGTGATCAGGCGGAGGTTGTGCAGGTGCCCCTGTGCTTGTTAAGCGAGAGAGAGGCGTGCAGAGATATGTCTTCGGTAATTTGGTGAAATGCCAAAGGACAAGTGTCAGAACCTTCAGAAACGATATGGCCATGGGTCAAAATCCCGTACCCCCAGAGAACATCCCAATCCCTTAAATAGACTAAACAATGGGTGGGGCACCTACCCCAAAATGGTACCATTGGATTTGACCCACACCCATATTAGAAACCCCAAGGACATAACTTCCCGTGAGAAATCGCCCAGGAGCTGTGAAGCTGATGTTCAGCCCTAATGCTCAAGGCTCCTATTTTCATCGGAGGTTGCTCCTCTTGAAAGATGCATTGGGCGGATGAAGATTGACTTTTACTCCTCACGTTCAATACCACAACACGCCATGTGTCCTTTTCGACCCTTGGTTTGCAATTGTCAATGTTGACTGATTTCAAACTTGGAAGCCAGTGTAGCCTATGGGTATGGGTCAAAGTTAAACCACCAGGGGACCGCAGGTTGTAGTCCTTGGTTCCGTTTGCAAGGGTTCCATTTTGGGGTTACCCTATTTTTTGCCATATAGACAAACCGCTCGTTTATGTAAGCAGCCGACATCACATTTTTAAGCCGCACTTTCCGTGTTTTTTTTTCCTCCCAGGGAGAACTCGTAGTCAGGTTGCCGTGCTGCCAAGGCAAGGGCAGCGACTCCAGCCCCGAACTAGTTTCAAGCTCCTGTCCGATTGGCAACTGGGTTTGCAATTGCCCCCCTTCATGTGCATGATCAAGGCTCTCTCGGGTCTGTGAGTCAGACTCGACATGTCATCATGTCCGGTTCGCCTAGTGCTCCTGGGCTGAAAGAGATGAGCTATTGCAAGTAGAAACCCAGCAAGCGACTTGAACCCCTGAGTGAAGCACTGCTGACTGTCACCAACGAACACAAACACACAGAGTCCTTGGCTTGCAGACCATGCCAATGACTTGTCACCGCTCGATCAGGCCGTCTATGACATGCAGGATGGCTTTGGTGGGGTGGCAGATGTGGTGATGCGCTGGGCTCGCGAGGAGTTGCCCAGCTGGCACGTTTCTGTTTTCCCTTGCGGTTGTTATTGTGCTCTGCGTGTTCCATTCGTCTTGGATCCCAATCATGTTCCCGAAGTTCTCGCCGACTCGCAAGAAGCACAACAGTTTTTCGGCCCACGAAAAAGATGACACACCTTTAGCGGGGGTTGTTTCAGGCCATTTGATGGCTTTGCTGGAAGCAATCCATGCAAAGGCGCACTTGGATGTGATCTTGAGGGCTCCGGTTGCATGGATTGACTCCTGAACCTGGCGTGGCATTCCTGATGTACCCCGCACAGTGCTTGCCTATGTTGTGGGCTTATGCATCACTCCTCTGCGTTCGAGCAGGACCCCAATTGCTCAGAAAGGAGGGCTCATGATACTTCGGGCGAGCTGAATATGTACAGAGACGGGCAAGTTATGACTTCAACAAATCATGCATGACTTAGATGGATATGTCATATTTTCAGTTCTTCAAAGAACTGCGGCACAAGTGGTTGCATCTAGAAGGAATGGCCGGACGGCAACTCGAGTTCATTCACAAGGGAAGGCTGAGTTCCACTTGAATTAAACTCTGGTCTTGACCCGTCAAGAGCAGGGTTTGCTTCATGCCACCACGAGAGATCTAGTCCAACACCAAGAGGGATTGATGTCCCCACCAACATAGCATCTGTGGCAGAGTGTTTCCTCTTGGAGGGACCTTTTGTCCGGTGCCGTGTTAGTGAACTCGGGAGTGTACTCAGCCCACTATCCCAGTTTCTCAAAAAATGGCCAGGCCGAAGACCGGGAAGTTCCTCATGGCAGCAACAGCCTCGGATCCCGTTCGTTTTGATTTCCCTCACGCGGTATTGGCAGCTGTGAATTCGCCGGCCATGAATTGTAGGAAACTACCGCCTAATAAAATAATGTCTGCATATGTCGGTTCCCTCAGGTGGCCATCAATGGTAATAGGGAACCACCTGAAAAGTGAGTGGTGGACATGAAACCTCAACACATGTCCACCAAAGGGCCTTATTCAGATTCATATGGCCATGGGTTGCAGAACCTATGGCTCCATCTTGGGGTGGATGAACATCCATTTGCAACCTATTTTGACGTTCACCAGGGGTACAGAGTTTTGACCCACAGCCATATCCAGGGAACCCTTAGTTGGTGGTTTGGCGGTTTGGATTTGGCTTTGAACAGGTCCCTGGTTCTAGAGGGCAGATAGAAAATCCGCAACCACCAAACCACCAGGCTCCAAACCACCAATCAGAGGGAAGCTAATATTTTGGATTTTCCCGGGTTTTCCTGAAGCTGACCTTTGTTCAAGGGGAGCAAAGTTGCCAGGGCCATGTTTGGATGAGAGAAACTTGAGTCTGGCAGTGTGGTGGCTCCCTGTGGGAAATCAAGATGTTTCCCCGAACGGTTCAACTATTCTGCCAGCTGTAAATTGGCTGGTTGTGTGAACAGAAGATGAGAGAGCTGGGGCAATGCTGTTTGTAGTTGAAGCTGGCAGCAGCAGAAAAAGAGACCCCAGGGCAGAAAGGACTTGAGAGGTGCATGATAGGATCGCTCGCCAGAGGCACCAACAGGCCTTAGGAGAGTCAATGGACTTGCAACCTGGGTATCCAGCATCAACTTGCATCGCCAGCAGTAGAGGGCCTCCCGAACTTGCTTTCCATTGGCACTGCTTGCATGCACCCGAGCGCTTTTGAGGATTTGCTTCCATGATCAAGGCGACCCTAGATGGATGCATCCGAGCAGATCACCGCATGTTCCAGGGGGCGAGGCTTCGCTTTTCTCGACTCAGCCACATGACCCATGCCGAGGTCCTTCCGGAAGAGGTCCCGGCGACAGACAGGCGCAAGCTGCGAGTTGATGTCTTCAGAGCAAAGTGGCAGTGGAACCCTCTGCGTTCTGACCCGACCCGTTGAATCTATCTTGAAAGGATGAAAACGCGACCAGGGTTGATTTGATTCGTCGCCGGAATTGATTGCCAAGCCCCCAAACTCGCAAGCTTGATAGGGGCATATGTCCAAATCCCTCAAAATTATGCTTCTCTTCTTATGCTGGAGCCCCTTTGCAGGGTTCGACTCAGAGATCTCTTGAGGAGCTGAGTAAGAATCGACTGTCGTTTTAAGGTGCAAACGAGCAGACAACAGATGACCATTTACCAACTTACCAAGGAGCAACCGAGCGAAGATCCAATCACCAGCCAGTTGAACATTTCTCTTGTTGGACGGGGTTTTCTAGGCAACCTTCTGCCACACAGCCGTGGCTGTCAAGCTTGAGTTTCTCTCGTTTTACCAGAGATTGCGCTGCAATATCAACGAGTTGGGCTATGGGTGTTGGTTGGAACACCTTCATTCTTCATTTTGGCGGACATTTAAGAAACACATCCAGACTATCCATTTGTTTAAAACTACAAACACATCCAGTTCAATGGTTGGCACTAAAAACGAAGTCCCAATGCAAAAAAACATTCGCATGAGAAGAGAACCCTTCGACTTGAGAGTTGATCGACCGGCGATTCGGGCGATTCGGCCGATTTTCCGATGCCAGGCCTGACCCGGAGATGTGGGGCATGAGCCCCCAGGCTGGATGCTGCCGGTTGCTGGGGTGGGGATGCGCTCGATTAGAGAGGATGGATGGGTGGAGGGGTGGGTTGCATGGGTGGGTGGGGATGGAATGGAACTGGACTGGACTGGACTGGACTGGACTGGACTGGACTGGATTGAAATGCATGGCTGGGGACGGACGGACAGATGGACAGATTGATAGACAAGCATATGCATCGATACATCGATGCATGGATGCAGAGATGCATAGAGAATTCTAAACGCTTCGCGTTGCCCGCCTCGGGAAGAATGCTTTGGGCTGGCTTTGTGGTTTGCCTTGAAGTGTTGTGTTTGTCTGAGTGAGTGAGTTGGCGCCGAACTGCGCGAGCCGGCTGGTTTCGAAGATGGGTGGGGGCATGTTTGCGCGCTTCCACATGGCTTGAAGGGCTAGATAGAACGAGAGCCGGCCAAGCCTTGACCGGCTTCTGGGGCCCGGTGTTTAAGAGCGGAATTGACGGGTTTCTAGAGAAAAATCGACGGTTTCTAGAAAAGAGCTCTTCTTTTTCTGGGATTGCGCCAAAATGGGTTTGTAGAGGGGATTTGATAGGTTTGTTGGTGGATTTGTCCGGAGTTGACCAGAGGATTTGGTTGTTTGCATGAATGTGACCGGTTTCTAGGGGGTAATTATGCCGATTTTTTTGTTGGGGGGTTGACTGGTTCTGGAGGGCTTGATCGGTTTTGAGTTGACCGGTTTGAGCCGCAAAAAAAGGGATTGCAGTTGGTCTCTGCAGAGCTGCTTAACCGTTTTCTATGGGAGTTGACCGGAGTTGGACCGGTTTTTGCAGGGCATTTCACTGACTTCTGGCGGGGAATTCGACCAATTTCTAGGAGGAGGAGCCTTAACTTGTTGTCGCAGGTTGGGGTTTGACCACTTCCCGGTTCTGTGAGGCCGAGGCGAATTATTCCATACATAGATGCGCAGACACATCCCAGATTTCCTTGTTGGCAGGGTGCTCCGAAAGACAGTTTCTTTCATGCCACAAACGAAACCTGCGCAACAAGGGAGCTGGATATGCCACGCACCGCAGGCGGATGTCTCCACCCTGGCGCTGGATTACGAGGCGCCAAACTCTGGGCCCATCCGGATTTATGAGCACCCTATGGCCGAAGTGGCTTCTTCTGTTGCCCCAGCAGCTGAAACTACAGCGTAGAATTTCCAGGGCTGTTGGGAATACCACCTGGGCTTATTTTTGTTGAATTCCAGACTTGTGTTGGTGACAGAAACGTGCAACATCAGGTGGAAAATCGAGAGCTGGGTACCATTCGGAGCAACGGCTGACCCCCTTCGAGGTCAAGTCCTTGAGTAGCCCGGGCCAAATTCGTTTTTGGACAGCATCCTGCTGGATTCGGCATGGCAGTTGGGTCTCTTTGTTGAAGGCATGTCGGAGCTGATTTGACTTCCACGTGCTAGGATTCCCTTGAAGGAAACCATACTGTGGACGAAATCCTGCACCAAGAAAGAACCCGTGGGAACCATTGTTTGTTGGTATTTAAAGGGGCAATCATCATTCCAGGGTTTCTGAGGTGGTGCAGGATTTTTCGTCCATCCACAGTAGGGGATGGTTTACAGGGGTCATTACAATTCTCATTCCCTGCTGATCACGATCACCAGCAAGTCTCGGCAATTGAGTGTTGCCCGGTTTGGGGCCGCAGTCCTCGAGCTCCCTACGCACCAAAAATTAGGGGCATCAGTTGTAGTGCATGAAGTGCTCATGCGCAGAAGTGACAGTTGTCTTTCTTTTCTTTGTATGTGTAGACTGTGTTTGGAAGTGCTTGGAGACGGCCCATGTTCTTTACAGCGACGGCCAAGAGTATGTTCAACAAGGACCATCCTACACTGCTGTAAGTTCTTGCGGCAAGTCAAGTTTCAAAAACCCGCCCGGAAAGTAACACAAATCGTTCGCCTTTTGAGCAAAAGAGGGTTCTTTCCAGTTTGGAGCAGGGATGACGCGTATCGTGCGTTTGCTCAGTCTGTTGATGAACTCCGACACTATTGGAAGCGCAATCCAGCTGAGAATCCACTAGATTCAATTGCTCTTTTTCTTCAAACACATGGCTACGGCTCAAAATTAAGGCACCAGGGGACCGCAGATTTTCCGCAGATTTTCGTCAACGTTTCCATGTACCAGGCTTCTATCGGAGGTGCCCCGGGTTTCTTCAGCCGCACGCGCCGAATCTCTCAGCCATTTGCTTTGACCGCGGCCCCAGCCATGGCTGGAGGCGGGGTTTTCAAACACCTTGCTGGAGTGGGGAAGAGAAGGACTAGGAGTTCTATTTTTAAATTATATGCATGTATATAATATATATATATATATATATATACACATACACATTGATATATGGACAGGGATAAAGAGAGGGAGGTGGGATCTTTGTTTTGAAATTATCCTATACATAATATATACTAGGTCCCCCAGTAGTGCCCTTTCTCACCCCTTTCTTGGTTGGGAGGGTTCCCCTACTAGAACATACATATATATATATATATATGTATACATACACATTTTAATATAAGGACAGGGACAAATAAAGGGAGGCTCACTAAGCATGCTCGGGGCTCCGATTCTCCGGTTTTACAGGCAAACCCACCCGGATCTAAATGGAATGATGCCGGGCAAGGCGCCGGTGTGGAACCCACAAGCTGAGAATCCTGCTTTCACGACTGCCTCAGCTTGTTCTTAACAAATACCAAATGTGTGGAGTGACCTCTCCATGTCAAGTGAACTTGAAGATGTCCTAATCCCTTCATCAAAACACCATTAAAAAGGCTCTCTGATTAAAAACAGGTCACACGCATGTACTTTCCTGTGGAATACCTGAAAGGAAAGCTCGCTTGCCCCGCCTCAGCTAGGTTAGTTGGACACACATCCTGATCCATCATGCAATATTGTCCAGTCAGCGGCGACTGGCTGGCTACCTGAATTTGCCAATTCAAGCACACCTTCACAGCTTTGCCAGTTGGATTCAAGCGTTTTATTCGGCCAGGCCGACCTTCACGTGGGTGAAACATAGTCCCCTACGCCCCTACGGGCGAAAGGTGGGCGAGGAGTTCGAGAAATGGTGACGACACGAAGTGCAGCATTTCAAAAGGAAGAGTCAAAGAGATTACATTCTGATTCAATGCCCTGCTTCCACACCAGGACTTAGCATCGCGAATTGCTTAGGAAGAATTCAATGTATTCTTAGCAGCTGAGGCGGCTTTGCACACAAGGGGCAGACACTTTTTTACAACCTTCCCACGAACACAACCTTTTGGAGCGACTGCGGGCTCGACAAAGCACTTCCATCCATTTGAGACAATCCTGCCCAGCATAGTGCAGGGAGCATTTACTCCTTTTTCCTGGTGACTTTTCTAAGGTGGCTTCCTCCCAAAGTACAATCCCCAAGGAGTAAATGTTGGTATATACTTGTACGTAATTATGTATGTACATATATATATATATATGTACATACATACATGTTATTGCTGAGTACTCTTTTCAGGAGGTTGGCTTAAGGGACACCAAGTGAAAACAAGCCCCAACGGTTTGTGGCCCGCCTGTTTTGAGACATACCAATGTTTAGTGGCTAGTTGGCGATTCCATGACACCCTGACCCGGTAGCTTTGGTGTGGAAACCTCTTAGCTAGGCGGATTCGCCAGGCCTTGGGGCGGTCGAGGTGCAGAAAGACTCGCGGCCCGTCTGGCGCCCCCCGGTGTGTGTGCGTTTGTTTGCGAGCGTGCGGGCGTGTGTGCTCGTGTGTGTGTGTGTGTGTGTGTTTCTTTTGGTTGAAGGGAGGCCAGAAGAGAAAACACAGTTTTAGGGGACCCCTATTTTGCCCTCAAAATTGATCATAAGAAGGAAAGTAGTACAACCGCTCTGTGAGGTATGGAGTTTTTGAAGGTGGAGGCAAGGCGAGGCTGTGAGCTTTTTTGGGTACGCCAACAGCACATTGACGTTCCAGGTTGGACATCGGTGAGCCGCTTGGATCTTTCGGTGGGATCCATTCCCGCAAGGAAGGTGACGTTGGAGGTAGGGCCATGGATGTTTTCAGGGAGCACCAAAAAGGCGCCTGCAAAGTAATTTTCGCCCCCCGGAGAAAAAGACAAAAAAAACACAAACAAACAAACTCGTGGGGGAGCGAGGCTTCATGTGTTCTGCAGGTTGGGATCAAAACCACAAAAGCTGAAACTCCGTTCAACACCAAAATGCCGCCCTTTTCTCCTGCCAACAGCAAGGACGTTTGTGTGTCAGGTACTGTGGCTTCGTGCGGGAGGTGGGCGCCAAGGAAGAGCTCCTGATCGGCTTTGAGGCACGCAGTTTGACGCCGGCGTTTCCAGATATCGGTATCCTGATCGTTTTTTCCCCGCGGTTGAGGCTGGCCAACCTCCAGTTGTTTTTTCTCTTCGGCGTTCTTTCCAGTACTTCCTAGGTCTTGAGGTCTAGTTCATGCGAAAATGCGCACAGAACCATCTTTTCCGACGCCTCAGGGATGAGGTCGGTCGAAATCTGGATTCCCAGTTTCCCAGTCCCGCAGATCAAGGGTAGCCTCTCATGGAATGCTCCCGCGCCGTAGCGGAAAAGGGTCCAAGCCCCCCCTCAGGTTCGGCTAATGACTTGCCGAACATAGTGGGCAATGTCCTCCCGAAGTTCATCAAGAAAGCTCCGCCACTCATGGCAGCTGAGCATCCGTCGGGTGTTGGACCTCACTTCCTGGGTTCATGGACTTGATATCGTTGTTGGGTTTGTTTTCCATTTTAGTGGGGGACAACCAGCAGTTCGGTTACTTTTTTGGTCCACTCGATCGCAAGCCCCTGCCACTTCCGATGGCCCTCCCGTCTTTTCGATTTCCAGGACGATGTGTGGCCTCCAGCGCGCTACGCCGCCCCCGATGTCAGGACGGGTTGAGTTTTGTTTTCCGTTTTTTGTTTGACTCCAGAGGCTCGTTGAGTGTCCGGATTGCTCTTTGGAAAACGGGGCAAGCATTTAAACAAATTTAGGTTTGTCAGGTTTTGCGTTGGAACGCTTTATGGGTGGTTTTGAAGGTAAACCAAAAGGAAACTACAATTTGTTGTGTCCCCGAGTTAAGACACGCCCATTTTTGCAAAGGGGCCTTTGTCCTGGCAATTGCTGATGATTTGTCCCATTTTGCGGAATATGGGCTTGATGAGGGCGATGGGACATCTTGTTAAACACTAGCAGAGACGATGCCTGAGCAGTTGATGCCTTGTTGGCGCTTGTGGCATACGTGTATATGTATAAGTATGTAGTAGCCCCAGAAAACCTAGGTTTTCCGCCTCGTAGCGCCAGTGAAGCGAACAAATGCAAAACAAGCATGCAACAAGTAACTGTTCACTGTGGGCTTTTACTTTCCCCCCGCAAACAGTATGGCATCACTTTACTTTTCGGGAGCTCATTTACGTTGTAAACCCTTGTCGGCCAACCCGCAAGTGAGTCAGTTCAGAAAGCCGCGGTAGCATTGTGCTGACCAAGAGCATCAAGCTCATTGCTGGAGATTATGATGGAACATGACGCCGCACTGAGTTTTTGAGAAGGTTTAATGTTTTTTGTTCTTTTTCTCGGCCGTGTGTACAGCTTGACACATTTTTCCTTGAACACAACATGCACATGTTCTCTCCAAACCCCTCAAGACCTGGTTCCAAGAGGCCTTCTGAAGTTCCAAGCGAGCTGAACTTATCTTTAACCTCCACTTTCACTAGCCTTGATCTAAGGGTTTTTGCATTACACCCTGGGATTACAGCCACTGGGAAATGACCCCATTTAGGTATATGTCTGGATAAAACCGTATCTTGAACCAGTATGGGTCATTTTCCAGGGGTGTAATCCCAAGATGTACTACAAAAACCCTTAGAATTGATCACAATTAACCATTAACCATCCCACGGGAGCTTCTGCTTAGCGCGAAATCGAAATCGGCGTCGCCAGGAAAGCACCCAGCCGGCAGCCTCAGAGTGAGTCTGAAGAGCTGACCGCTTTGCCGATGAGGTCTCCGCTGCCACTGGCATCCTTCTACACTGAACAGGGCTGTAACCGGTAGTTATCTGAGGTTCTGCTGATGCAC